ATGGACCAATCTGCACATGACTTANTCATTATAAAACATATCATATATATTATTCTGAAATGGACCAATCTGCACAATGACTACTTTTACTGTTGCTACTTTAATATATTTTCATGCTAATACTTTTCTACTCTTATTGAGTAACATTTAGAATGCAGGACTTTTACTGTAACAGAGTATTTCTACACTCTTGTACTTCTACTTTTACTCTTTAAGTACAATATCTGAGTACTTCTCCCATCTCTGTAAAATGTTAGCAAAGCCATGGTCAATCCAAACTCCATTCAGAAAACAATCATGTTCAAAGTGTTTTGCTTCTTGTCTTGCAGATGGAAATTAAAAGTCTTGTCTTCAAACTTTTTAGAAATCGGCATCATGATGGAGTTATTTTATCTTCCTTTTAATAACTTGTTTTCCTTTACAGCACATCAACGTCTGCTCAGATTGGGTTCATACTGCGGTAGTTTACCAGATGTATTCAGCTTCTGAGGTAAGAAGAATAAGTATAAAATATCCTGGGGTCAACCTCTTAAATTGCACCATAATATGTTTCCCATAATGCAACATGTAATCATCTTTTTGTTGAGCCTCGGCTGCCTGGTAAATGTCCTCAATTCAAACTACATATTTTTAGTTTGTAACTTTCTGCTATAAAGTGTAACATACAGAATCCCAGGCCAAGCCGATGACATCATCTGGGTTTTTATTCAGACTTTGGAGACCTCCTCACGAACCACAGAAGACATTACACACTGTTGTTCCAGGCTAAATATGACCCCTGAAGACCTGTAGACTGACTGTAACACTGGTGAAGTACCTCTTTTAAGACTTGCTTTCATTAGTAGTATCAATGTCCAACATTTAAATTAAATATGTAACTACTCATGTTATAAAAATATACTGCCTGGGCATTTAATGGGTGGTTTACCAAGCCCAAGCACATGTTTCTATAGCAACAAATCAGTGACGGGTGGCAATTATTTTTCCTGTCCATCAGCCATGGAGGAACACTGTGGAGGATAAAGGTCGCTGAGATGAGCCCAGTGGAAATGATTTGTTGATATGTGAAACCCCAACTGCTTCCTTAGTGACCAACACGACCTCTGAGCTCGCACTCATCAACAGCATTACGCAACTGGCAGTACAACAACAGCGGTTGTTATGGCAGCCGACTTGTTTGTCCCTGTGGGAATGTGTCGGAATGAGGCACTGATCCCATGGTTAATTCTCAAGTTGCAAAACAGAATCAGAAACAGAGGGGTTAACGTGAAAAGGATCGGGCATTACATTAGGGACCTTGGTCGAGTGGTTTAATTTGGATACACTTTTTATGGTTTGCATAATTAGGAGCCAGACGAGGGCGGTTCACCACAAAAGTATAGTGTGATGCAAGAGAAACAGGAAAGCATTGGTCAATTCTGTTTTTACGGTATTGTTACGAGTAAAAGGGTAAACAAACACGAGCAGCCATGATGAGTGGCGAGCCTCACTTCCCTAATTTGTCTTTTCCTAAGCCTGAACAAGCACACAAAGACACACACTCTCACACACAAACACTCCACCCTGAATGTCAGCATTTCGCTCTTTACACACAAAAACACACACCACAGCTGCAGCCTCAGGACAGTGGGGGTCCTGAGAGGAGCCTGAGAGCACCCTCTGCCGACTGAAAGACCCTCCTCACAGCAGCGGCCCCTCGTCTCTCACCTTGTTGTGTATCACCACCACGTTGTGGCTGTCTGCACTCAGCCACGTGTCCATGGCTTTGCAGATGCTGCAGATTTTGTCCAGAGCTGGAGCGTGGTGGTCCGGCCAGCCAAAGTCCAACACCTGAGAGAGGGGAGGGGGGGGAGGGAGATGTTCAGTCAGATTGATTGTCATATCATACATAAGTGAAGAGAAGGGAAGAGAAGAGACATTCACTCTACCTTTGGATTAAGTTGGCTGATGTCATAACGCTTCTCACTGAGGTTGAAGAGCTAAACAAGAAGAACAAGGTAGACACCATTATTACAAATCTTTGGCATTTTCATTGTATAGACTTCAACAACCAATACAACCATATAAGTCATTTGTTACAACCATGTCATACCACCTGCAGGAGTGTTTTTTAAATGACTGGAGTGAAGCAATGATCCTGCTAGCAGTCACAGTTTTGTAGTGCACCAATATGTCCTGGTTAGCTATACGAAACCATCCTGAATCTGACTAACATTTTTGTTAGAGAACTTATGTAGTCAAAGGGATCCATTTTAGACAAGTTGTGTTCACCGTTTAAAGTTTACAAATAATTTTGTTTTACACCAGCCTGTTCTTAAAGTCAATGTTTACTTGAATTTTTATCCAAAACCAAAATAAAGTAACAAATGCACTTATTTATAACCACACTATGATGTTTACTTGACACTTTTTTTAAAGTAATTTGTTTATTTGTGTTTTTTTACATCAATACGTTTCCAATGCCGTTTACTTGCATGGGAGAATCATTTTGTAGCAGACAGGGTCGTTTATACACATACACACTAGGTTTCAAATGACACACTAATACAGCAGGAATGTTTCACACCCTGTTCAGAGAGTAAAAGTGTTTAACAGTATCAAATAGCCGCAGCAGTGGCTTGAATCCAAGAATATATATCTTAGGACTGTGCGTTTGTGTGGTAAGTTTTACCTTGACTGCAAAAGCAGTTATCAACAGTAACAAAAGATAGTAACAACATCATCAGATGAACAGATCTGTACACACTTGCAGATAACAAAGATAGCTCAGATGTTGGGTCTAAAAGAGATCAGCTGTGTCTAGCTCTAATGACTCGAAGATAATCGCTGTTTTCCTGCCTGAATTATATGCAGGAGGAGACATGAAGAAAGTGTACCAGGTAGTTGTGTCCGTGTTTGGAGCGCAGCATGGAGGCGACCTCCCGCAGGTTGGCGGCGTAGCTCTGCTCCTCCACGCTGCTGGGGAAGGACACGGAGATGATCCTCTCTGTGATGTACAGCAGGTCCAGCTCATAGTTCTCCTCCAGGGCCTGCAGCAGACTCACACTCCTGGCAGAGGAACCACAGAAGCAACTATATTGAACGTGGGTAATGGTGAGGGCTCATACAGCAATGGGGCCAATCAATGCAGAAAGACAGAACTGAGGTGGATTGCTGAACCGCTAAAGATCTGAAGGGAGGAATGAAGTAGCCAGAAGTAATGCTGCATGTGAGCTCATAAGACCTGCTGGTGCATGATCACTTTGAATACTTTACACCCATAACAATAGAACCGGAGGGTCTAATGTTTGTGAGTTTCAAACGGTTGAATGTGATGGATGCCTTTTTCAGTTTTCTATAGCCTTCATCACAGGCCTTCCTCGACCTCACTTGATGTTAGTTCCTTGGACTCTTTTTCTGACCTTCAATCCACTTGTGGACATATCCGTCGTGACTCTGCAGAACGTTTACATGCATAAAAAGACACATAACACACAAGGGGACGGGTAATAACCAGAAAAGCATATGATGGGACCTTTAATATAATTCACAAAAGCAGTAAGACTATATGAAGTATCAAATTGGCATAGTTGGGAGCCAATGCTATTACCATTTTAACAGAAAGATAATATACTGGATAATACGTATGGAACAGCCTGCACATGTGTATTAAACAAAGCCAAGTACGGCAAACATTTTTAAAGCAGGAATATGTTGTGCGATTGTTTCTCAAAAATACAAAACGAAGCTCCTGTTTCCTCATGAGTAGGAAGGCAACTTGTATCTACTATAAAGACTATGAATGACAGAATGTCAATTCATCGAGTGCCAATTGCTGAAGATGTTCAGTTATGAATAGTGCAATTTAGTGAAAGCAATCGGGATTAGAACTGTTTACAGCAGGGGTTGGCAACCCCTGGCACGCATGCCACCATAGGCACGCGGGACCGTAACCAGTGGCACACTAGGAATAAGTGTGCAAAATATTTAAATTGTATTTTCGGATCCTGAACGAGACCGCCGGCAGAGCGCGTCTCCCCCTACAGAAGGAAGCCATGCACGCAACGCAGCACAGAAGGATAACTTCTAGGCTCTCTTTAACTCCAGTCGACTTGCTGCTGATTTCCTGCATGGTGAAACGACCAGGGGTGTAGCGCAATTCACACATTGCATTTCCCATAAGGAGCTGTAAATGCTGCAGTTTTTGCGTGGCTGTGTCTTTAGTTGAAAGCCCAGTGGCGTTCTGCTGAGCAGAACGCCACTGGGCTTTCAACTAAAGACACAGCCACGCAAAAACTGCAGCATTTACAGCTCCTTATGGGAAATGCAATGTGTGAATTGCGCTACACNTCTATTTCCCCTCTTACCCACATCTAACAACACAACATGTGTTTAATACAGAAGAAGAACATGTTCTTCTTCTGTA